TTAATTTAAGTAAGTCAGATGCAATTCATATAGGAAAGCTGAAAGGCAGTACAGTTATTCCGCAATATGCATTAGGGTTGAATTGGAAATCAAAAACGTTTAAGGCTTTAGGAGTGGTTTTCTCATTGAACACAAAAATGCTTTACGAACTGAATTTTGTTCCCAGACTTGTCATTATAGAACAGATTTTAAATTGTTGGAGGCATAGAAGCCTATCCTTGTTGGGCAAAATTGCTGTTGTAAAGTCGCTTTTACTCCCCCAAATGTTATTTTTGTTTTCAGTATTATGCATTGACCTGCCAAACTCTTTCTTTAAAAGATTAAATGGTTTGCTTTTTAAATTCATTTGGAGCAATGGCAATGACAGAGTTAAGAGAGATATATTATGCAATGATTATGAAGAAGGGGGTCTAAGGATGATTAATCCTTTAGTTTTTGCACAAGCGCAGAAAGTTTTGTGGATGGCTAAACTCTTAGACGATAAATATGAAAGTTGTTGGAAAACAATAAAAATATATATTCTTTCTACCTTTTGTGATGATCATCTTGCCCTTTTTAAGGCAGATGCCCCTGATTCGGTTTTGGCAAAACTTAAAAATTGCCAGTTAACAGCGTCTATTAAGACATGGTATTTATATAGGCAAGAGATGAAAAGAGAACTAGGTTTATGTCAGTTTCATTTACAAGATTTTATTTGGTGGAAAAGAAATGTAAGATTGCAATATAGAACACATTTTTTCTATCCAATTTGGTATGAAAGGGGTATTCATTCCATTTTTCAATTACATAATGGTTTTGGTAACCCCAAAACATTTGAAGACCTCGTAATTGAGTTTGACATTCCTATTAGAGACCAAAGAAAATATGACTCCCTCATGAATGGCATATTTTTGGAGTGGTTTGATAATTTCTTAATGTGGATGAGAATATATTTAATCAAATTTTTAAAGATCTATTAAGTCAAAAGAAAATGTCTAAGTATACATACAATATTTTGCTAAAGAAATATAGTTGTACTAATGCCAAAAGGGAGAGTAAATGGGAGGAACTCTTTGGCCATCAACCCAAAGAGAAGGATTGGTCGATTATTCATACGAGTAACTTTTGTTGCACAATTGAGACTCAGTTAAGGAGTTTTTATTTCAAAATTTTCCATAATGCTATTGGTTTTAATGCATTTTTGTTCAAGATTGGGAGAAAGGAGTCTGCTAATTGTTATTTTTGTTCAGATTTTCCAGAAACTTTAGATCACTTGTTTTGTGACTGTAGGAGAGTTGTACCACTGTGGGAAAAATTGGTGGATAAGATTAACACTGGCACTGATCACAGTTATAATCTGACTCTGTCAAAATTTAATTTTTTGTTTGGAATACAGTCAAGGGACAAATACGCCTCTTGTATAAATTTTCTCTGTTTATGTTTAAAATATTACATTTACTCATGTAGGTTTCAGGGAAAAGAACTTATTTTCGAAGCATTTGTTTCAATGGTAAAGTTCAAACAAAAAATAGAATATAAATTGCCCAAAAGAAAAATAAGTTACAAGTCCATTTTAAGAAATGGTCTATCAAGTTTAACTGAAATTTAGGAGTAGTCTTGCAAAGCTCTGTTGTCATTAACATCTTCATTGGCTTTTTGAATTGTAAACTTGCCCTCTGGGAAAGTATATGAGTGTGAGTGTGTGTGTGTGTGTGTGTGTTTATGGGTGCATGAGTGCGTGCCTGTTTTGTAGTTTTAAGATGATATTATATTTTATATTGCTGCTTTTACTCTGTTAATTTTCAGAAAAAACAATAAAACAGAAAGAAAAAAAAAAAAATAGCTTGCTGCAGTGCATTGCACTCCCAAACATGAATTATTTGTATCAAAGGCATGCATTAATACAAAAGGGGATGAGTAGACAGCGAGACAGATAGGAGCGAGACAGAGAGGCAGCGAGACAGAGAGGCAGCGAGACAGAGAGGCAGCGAGAAAGAGAGGCAGCGAGACAGAGAGGCAGCGAGAAAGAGAGACAACGAGACAAAGAGACAGAGAGAGAGAGAGAGAGAGAAGGAGAGGGGTATAGATAGAGACGGAGAGAGAGAGAGAGAGGGGGAGATTGTTGTGCTTGAAAGAAGGCTTAATAAGATGAGAGAACATAAGAAACAGAACGGAAATTTGAAGACAGAAGAGGAAGAAAAGAGAGGTCTAGATGAGGAGGGCGAGGAGAGTAAGGAAGGGAGTATAGAGAGAGACGTGATGAGCGGAAAGAGAGGGAGAGGGAAAGAGAAATAGAAAACAAATAAGATGCGAGGGGAATGTTTATGCACGAAATTAATATCGCTCTGCCCTGATCAACTTCATTTCTGTATCACCATGACAAAATTCAATGTTTCAATATTTCATATTTCTTTCCGCCAACTGACCCGAGGCAACCTGTTTCTCATCGTCAAAATATTGTTTTCTGTAACAAGTACCCTCCTAAAATCATTTTAAATATAACAACTTCTAAAATAGCCTTTGACAACGAACTTGTGAGGGTGTGTGTTAGGAGGGGGGGGGGTAGAGGGGGGTACACTTATTTGTTTTATTTTTTAGTAAAGTACTATCTGTAACCACGTTTCATTTCACGTCATTGCAAAAAGACATTTGGCTCGTTCAAATGCACACCTCTCCTTTCCCGCCCCGTTCCCGTACACACTCACACGTACACGCGGACACAGACACAGACACACACACACACGCACACACACACGCACACACACACTATCTGTTCATGGTCGCTGAGTATTATTACGATTTCTTACCTTTTTCAAAACATAATCAATTCAATATAAATAAATGTTAACGCTGTATAACCTTATCGCATCGAAAATTGATTGGTTTGCCCATTATTATGTCAAGTGGTCGCCATCCTAGTACCTGCTCAGCATTTCCATGGATATACCAACGTCTTTCGCCCAATACGTCATATTTCTGCTTGGCGGTGTAAGATGTCTAGCTGTATTCCATTTTACTATGAGATATTAAAAACCCTATCTGAAGAAAACTCAACTTTATATGATTCAATGGAAATCTGAATGGACGTTGAAACAAAATATTAAATACTTTTCAGCATTGCACAAAAGCTAATTAAAGCCTTATTTTCCGCAGCCCTCGAATTTACGGGGCAACAGGGGTCAAATTTGCCGCAGTTACGGTGACGACACAACATGTGGACCGGATCAGCTCGTATGTATATTAGGGACTTTAAGATTTGCGTGGACTGATACGTGTGACGTCAATTCAAGGCAGTGCATTAAAAGGACATCGATCGTAGCAATCCACGTTGTCGTTGTGCAAATCTAAAAGTCCCTAATATATGTATATATATATATAGCTGGAGCATGAGCGATGCTTAATTAATAATAAGTCACTGTAAATATGCGTACTTCACATATGATTGTCATCAAGTCGATAACTTGTTTTTAGGTCAAAAGCTTTCGATTTTCAAAGAGCTATTACTCCTCTAACAGACATTAAAATACAATGTAACTGATGTTGTTGTCATCTATGGCTGATTAGTTTACAGTTGATCGTCCAATTCGCTTTGTACTTACGACATGGTCTTTTAAATTCAGTAATCATCCTAATGAGATAAGGGGCAAACCTTAATTTGAAGCAGTACCCATGTAATTTTAATGTGGGCTTGATAACCTCCCTTTTTAATTACATGGCGTATGTTTTTCTCATCATGTTCACGGTCGCTCTACAGGTTGCTATAACTAAATATATAATATATATATATATTATATATATATATATATATATATATATATAAACCAAAAGGAATAAATTCCTTTAATACTTTAGGTCCTATATGGTGAGGGTAAACACCAGTAGCGCTTCAAAGATTCATAACTTTTCCCATTTCCCCCTTTCCATTTCTCTACCCCTCGCTCTCCCTCCTCTTTTCTCTTACTCTCTCTCTCTCTCTCACTCCCTTTCTCCGTACTCCCCTCTCTCTTTCTTTCTCCTCTCTCTACCTATCCCTCCCCTCCTTTCTCTACCTTTCTTTCTCTTTCTTTCTCTCTCTCTCTCTCTCTTCCTCCCCCTTCACCTTTATCTCTTTCTTTATCTCCCTCTCACTAACTTCCTCACAAATTCAACTCGGTTAATCTCTACCCCCACCCTACCCCTTTCTAACTCTCTCCCTGTCTCTTTCTCTCTTTTTCTCTGTCTCTCCTTTCCGCCCCTCTCTTTTATTCTCTATCCACTCTATTTTACAGTAATTTATCAATCCTGCTCAAATGGATGTTTAAATATATATTTAGAATGCACATGTTGCTTTGTTGGGCAAGCACAAAACCATATATATGTATCCATATGTACTTTGCGTTCCTGAAAAAATGAAACCGAAAATCAAATGATTACCCGACCCAAGTAATGCAAAGTTTTGGGAAATTTTGAAAATTGGATGGATAGTAATTATTTACAATTTGGATACATTTGGATGCCCCTGTGGATGTATTAAAAGCACTAACAAATTTAGCCCCTAAAACACTTCTGCTTTCGAGAAATTGAATAACCAAAGATCTACCGGTGTTCCCAGTAAATTTCAAATATTTCAGATAGCGCCTATGGCCATTCGATCGGATCAGTTTTTCCCAATTTGTATCATTAACAATGATCCGTTTTCACTTTCAGATTATATTTAATTGTACATCTAGCATTGAAGTCACTATCACTATCTAAGCACCACTATCTCTCATCTGAACAATGTTACCAAGTCCCTTTTCCCGAACAAACATTCTGTCTGATATAATATTGAATGAATAAAGAATGTAACGAACAAAATACATGAGCGGCTATATACAGTATTCACTCGTCGTCCAGACTATTGGTTCTAAACAACACAGCCTGCGCATGAGATTCATCCCTACGTTCGAGATGATTGGTCGGTAGCTGATGTTGTGGGTGTTGTTGCAGCGCCGCCCAACATTGATTCTGAGACGCCAGCCAACATGCGCATGGTGAGTGGTGGAAGACTGGTTTGCTGATCAGTATCAGTTTGCATTCCTCGGGCTTGGACTTGTGTTCTTTGCATACTTTAGTGATCCTCAAATTTTAGACGAACTGGTTGTTATCAAACACCTCTAGAAGGTAAGACACCTAACCTTCTTAATATTATAATGCTATTCGGAAGAATTTCTTTCATGAAATCCTATATATAATATTATTTTGCAAAGATTTTAAGCGGTATTGGTGTCATAACATGATTAACATATATTCGACCTCAAACTATACTCATCACTATCTATAATAATATTACCTTGCCTCATTTATTGTATTGTATTATTTTCTGGGGCTATTCATATAAAACCCACCTCCTCAGGTTGAAATTACTACAAAGAAAGTACTTAGACATATATCAAACTCTCACTTTCGAAGTCCAAATGGACCTTTATTTCGTCATCTGCATATTTTGCCTGCTACTGACAGTTGGGTTACATTTCAAACTACATGCTTACTTTAAATTTCTCTTTTCATTTATGACACACGACAAAGTCATCCGTTTCATCAAACACTATGGGCTTAAATTCTTTTCGTGTCAATACATTAAAGTGACTCGGTAACATTGTCTCAGATTCTGAAACAAACCCTGGGTTTAGCTCATGCTGCAATGATAATTATAAACCTTTAGACCAGTCAGGAATCCCACGACTTGTACAAGCCGATCGCCTGTCTGATTATCAAGAAAAATATAATTGGAAATCGAAATCAAATTTAGTTTTCCGAACGGTTTGTATATTAAACACTACAGTCTATTGGGGGAAATAAGTATGTTAAAAACCGGTAATTCAAACAAAATTGTTTAAAGCACTTCATGATCATTTTGAAACGCAACCTTTGTAGGGCTTTAACATATTACAGACACTCATAACACGTAGGGCCATGCACCTCAGATTTAACACTGTTAAACGGTGTCTTTAAATCATGAGATGAACCGGTACTGAATATTTGGGGTAGTACTACGTTTTCTCTGCTGTAAATCTCTTTCGACAAGATTGTAGTACATACTGGCGGACTTACCTTTGTTTAATTTTGTTGACGTGGCTGATAGATTCTTACCTTCAACACTCCGTGGTCATGATTAGCATTTATATTTAAGTCTCTTTCTGTTTTAATTCTTCTTTGTTTTCTACTACTTACTCTTTTTCATCTTCTTTTATCCTTTTAGCTGTATGTGTGGAAATGTATTTATGTGTTTGTATGTTGATGATTAAATATTCGTATTATTAAATATGTGTTTTATGCATGTATAATTTGCTCAAGGGGCCCTGTTTACAAGCTCTTGCTTTTTTAGGGCTCCTAACCTTTATTACTTTGTATAAGATCACGTTTTATAGTTGAATATATTAAATGGTTGAATAAATGAAATGAAATGGAAAATGAATGTATCACTGTCTTACGGTGAGTTTCTTTTGGCACTAAGATCTTCTGTTATTACTCCGTTATTGAATACATTTTAATCATTAACCGATTTCTAATTCACAAATTTCTAGAACAATTTATGGAAAAAGCTTGTTCTAATCAGGTTTCCAAATCTGTCAATCACATTTATTTTCTTGATCCAATGCACTCCTTTCACTGAGTCGCACATAATTATTGACTAGGATGCACTTATTCGTCTGCAGAATGACAGATTTTGTGCCACTAATAACAGTCAATTTGTCTTCCCATGAATGCTTGAGCTTTTTTTTTGCATTCGACCTGGTGGACCATACAACTCTCTCACAAGGGCAGGTCAATCGCTTTTTTTTTCTACTTGATAATTTCCTTTTTTGGTTGCAGTGAGACCTTAACAACAGGTCGTCGAGTAAGGTCCATTTTAAATTAATACAGGATTTTGTAACCAGCAGTACCGTATTTTATGGGATTGTCCCGTATGTCGACCAATTGTCAGCATCCCGTATCGAACCTCCGCGAGGTATAGTGCGTCCCGTGTTAGCCTAATGCTGATTGGAAATGGATAGTAGTTACATGCCAAACTGTAGACCTACAACACTGCACGAACAAGCGGAACAGATTCTTAATTTGTGTTCGCTTGCTTCCCTCACTTGCTATTAATGTTTTAGAAAATGGAAACGAATAGGGTATCATTACATAAAGAACGATTTTTCTTTATCATGAAATGGTTTCAACCTCAGACTGATCATGATATTTGTAACATAAGCTACCACAGTTTAGTACGTTGCTTTTGTTAACCAATGACTGCTTCCTGAAACGCTTTATAACTTTTAAGCCAGTGTCACCTTTAATGCTGATATCTACTATTAAGTTTGAAACGAAATTAGTGCAGTGCCTCAAATCTGTTAATAAATAAAAAGGTGGCGACTTTCGAAAATCAGTTCATTTTAAATATTGTGATCATATTTTCCAGTCTCACCTCACCCCATAAAACTATGACACCTTGTAAATTACATCGATTACACCATTTTCAGTTCATGTAGGATCTTTGGGATTGCCTCTGGTGGAGGAAGGACGCCCTCAAGCATGGGGTATATACTAAAGCTACATGTAATTGCAGCCATCGTTGTAATAGTGAATGGAGTTCAGACAGTCAGTGTATCAGGTAAGACCACCAACCCTATCTCCCCCTACTTACTGCCAGTTGTAATCTTTGGGCCCGTTTTCGCTTACGTATCATCTTGCTACGTATTCATTTCAAGAGCGGCAATCCTAATGTTTTAATTATGTAACGTTTAGACCTTATCCTGTTTTTCTCGAGACACACCTGCATGTCAAGAAGATTCTACTGGAGTGAACTACAGGGGAAACCTATCTCAGACAATCAACGGTCATAATTGTCAAGCATGGACCTCTCAGGATCCCCACCAACACTTTTATACTCCAGCTGACTGTCCTAACGCGGGACTAGACGACAACTATTGCAGGAGCCCAGATAATGATGACACTGCTTGGTGTTACACCACCAATCATGGGATAATATGGGAGTATTGTGATGTAGGTTTCCTCGACCCAAGATGCAAAGGTAGCGTTGTAGTGTTAAAATGTGAGCAAAGCGCTGCTCAAAATCAATTAATTTTCAATTTAATTCAATTCAGTTCAATTATTCACTCAATATATAAAATACATATACATAAATTTGCGTATGAACGCATGTGATACATATTAAAAGATGGACATATTCAAATCAGGAGTTGGAACCACAAGTAACATAAATTGAGTGGGGATCAGATTAAAGATCTATTTAAAGATTTTATGTGCTCGACCCCATTGTGATGTATAAATTGCATTAAATATTTGTGCATGTACAACTCATTATTATATTAGACCATTTTGTTCGGTAACCAATATCCTACGTGAAATGAGCTTTCGAGAACAATGCTGGCACCCAATGGCCAGTGTTGCTCCTTCTCTCTATTGGAATGTATTGGTTGTTTTTCATGAGGATTTCATTTTAACGTTCATTTTTCTATCTATTTGTTCATTCATTAATTCCTACCGTTTATTCTTTAACATCTATTCTATGTACTTATAAATTCGTTTAAATATGTGTTTATCTATCAATGTATTTATAAATTTATTCATTCTTTAACTCAATTCCATTATAGCATTACATGACGTAAATGACGTCTGTCTTCATATAACCACGATGTCATGTCCTTTGATCACCTTGGAGAGCGGTGAGACTGTACAATTGATCCCGAAACCCATGCAATCCGATCTAGACTGGTTAATATCCGACCTCCCAGCAGACCTCCAGATTCCTGATGATGTCCAGCGTTACTATTGCACCGAACCAGGTAGTATTTGCATGCAAAATCCCCGAAATGTGTGTAATTCTGAAAATGAAAAAGTCTCGTTAATATATGAAGGTCCATAATTCCGATAATCAATATATTGTTCTACTTCATTTTCGGAATTAAGAATCCAATTTAATTTTCGGAAATATGAGCCTTGGGAATTATAAGCCTTTGGAATTACAAACCTTCGGAAAATGACATGAAGCCGAAAAATTACGCTACAGCCAAAAAAAATGCATTTGTTTCAATTCATATTTATATGGCACTGAAAAAGAACCATGTTATTATGACATTGATCACAACTTGTTGATTACACTATTACCGTGACCAGGCATTATATAATTATACAAATGTCATTCATTCAATATAATTACAATTTTATGTTCAATAATAGGCGGTGTCGTGATAATTATAGTGGTTAATTCAATTAACTCTCAAACCAACCGTAGAGGGTTCGAGACCCAGCCTGGCACTCAATTTTCCTTTGGCAAAGCGTACTTCCCTCTCCATCCAGATGTAACATTTTGGGTAGTCTTTTGCAACGAAGAATAGTATTGCTAAAGAGGCTCCTGGATTAAATAGTTCCGATATCACCAAACAGTTAAATTTCTTGCCTTCCGGTTTCGTTTTTTCGTGCCATACCATTTTTGTAAAGCTTCCCCCGTTCAACTTGCCTTTTGCAAACGTTTGACAATTCTTTTTTCACAAAATGTTTGATGCAAACTAGAGGCATTTCAACTTAAACTTTCAGATGAACATGTGAGAAAAGAAAGAAAGAAAAGTGTGATGTTAATTATCAAGTAACAGTTGACTTCATAATCTATAGACGTGATAAACCAAGCAGTTTGTACTATGAAATTGTTTTCTTATAGAAAACTGAATAAAACATTGTTTGGAACTTACTTTGAATATTTTATTGAAGGGGCATTCTGACTGTATAGGTGTCAGAATCTGACACCTATACGCTAGGTGTGTACAGGCAGAGTAGCACATTGAGTAAGCCTGCCTTAAACCCCGCCACATCCCCTCTACAATGTCAATGTTAAAGAAAAATATCCAGTACAGGATGAAATACCACATCTAACATTGTATCGAATTTGATTAGATATACACAGGCCGCCTTTGATGTATCGTACGGAGAACCGGGTAGAAATTTAAAATAAGTAAGGGAAACAATAAATAATAAATCATGATTCAGACGAACATAGAAAGTCGACTGTAATTCAAATATTATCAGCAAAAGGGTTGAGGAAAAAAACTTCGCTGTATGCAAAGCAATTGATCGGGCTGGCTGAATTTCATTCCCATTTTTATTGGAGCATATGTTGCGTAATACAAAACCGCCCATATATGACGAATGTACACGTAAAGGGCGGTGAATCCATTTAACTGTGATATATGATGTATAAATGTAATTTACTAAAGTGTATTGTGCTACCTACACGTCCCTGCGGCGCTAGTCGTTCTACAAAGGGGGCTTGAGGGCTCAATGCTGATGTGGAATTAATAAATGTTAAATATACTATGTCCCTTGTGCAGCCAACATCAAATTGTGTAGAACTTTGCAGGAATTATGAATATGTCATGTATGTCTATGAAATTTAAACATTAGCAGTGTCCTAATATTCAAATTATGCAAGGAAACCCGTTTACTTGCTAGACTTCACTGTCAGACACTAGTGAGTGACTGACTGTTTTTTTTTCATCTGTGGTAATAACATACATAAAAAGAGCTATAAAGGGTACACGAGCATTTTTCTACATCAATAACCCACTTCTTGTAATGGCCAACATTAAACTGATTGAATCTTTGCGCAGCATAAAACGTACGACCATTCGGTTCAATGGTCTGAAAAATCAGACTATAACTTACTGGCTGTATAGCTCTTAAGTCGATTCGACAACTAAAAGTCGTTATTTTCCCACTTTATATATATGGGGGGGGGGAGTTCTAAATGAGTATTGTCTTTTAAATTCCGTTGAAATTTAACCTTTTCATTTGTTTGCCTGCAAATGGGACATAGTACCATTAACCACCATTTCATATCATACCGTAATCAGCAAGGAAGGATCACGTATGAGTCAGCAGGTAGCATAATTAGCAATTTGTTTTAAAGGCACATGCCATTTTATTTCAGGAAATGAAGTGAGGCACTTGAAGAAATGCCATTTGGCCATACACTTGTGATCCTTACTGCGATTCCCCGTTATATCAATCATGTAGTGTTATTATGTAGTATAATGGACAGTGAAAAAGCTAAGTTTAATTTAGGCGTCAGATATAATACGAGCTAGTTTTAAATATATATGTATAATTAAATCTTCCTAATCTACGATCCCAACAATTTTAACGTAAAAACGTGGCTTCTATAATGTCTACATAGAAGAAATGTTGACGTCTAAAACCAATCCATGCAGAACCAGAACGAAATTATTAAATTAACATTATACTATTATGGCAACGTTGACGGTCGTTTAGCATAATAGATAAAATGTATAGACTAATTAGGCGACACGGACCGCAGTATCAAATGAATTGCCCCTCTCACATGTTAAAAGTGTTAATTTAGTTAATTAAACAGGATAATATCTCAGGGCTGCTGTTGAATAAACGGGAACGGAAGCGTTATGATGTGTGGCACAGGGCATGCATATCCATCATAAACATAATTAGGCATCCAGTGGTGTAGCATGGATCGAGATATAGAAGGGGCACGGAGGGGAGGGGGGGGGGGGGGGTAAACTCACCCGGTGGATGAAGAGCAATTTGAGGTCTTTAATCATAATGATGGGCGTCTGGTTGGTTGATATATCTACTCTTTACTCGTTTCCTCTCTCCTTTCTCTTGTTTTCTTTCTCCCCCTTCTTTGTAACCCTTCTTATTTTTATTCTGCCCTTTTACTAAGGGGCAACGTGCCCCCTGTGTCACCCTGTAGGTACTACACTCAGGCTCTGTTCTAGATGAAAACCAGCTTTCGGGGGAAGGGGTTGGGTGGTTGTAATTTCCTTTTCTCTCATGGTGACCATGAGGTAGGAAAGGAGTGGAGATGGTGCTCATTGTGCGTGAATGAATCCGATGACCGGGGTAATAATATTTGTAAAATGCTTAGAGACGAAATACCCTTTGATTCTCTGACTTTCTCCATGATGTCTTTAACCTTTTGTTTTCTGGCGTATGACTTTGTGGTTGATTTTGTCTCGCAGAGATAAATGCTACATCTTTCTCTCCATAGCTCGTTGAGTAGTCAGTCACAAGCTTCTGTTCTAGATCCTTTGTCAATGACCATGTTTCTGATCCATATGTGATAGTTGTTAGAATGCATTGGTTGAACATTCTTATTCTTAGTGACATGGGTATGTTTTTATCAGTCAACATGTCTTTGTATCTTCCAAAGTTCATCCATCCTGCTTTTACTCTCATTATAACTTCTTATTTTGTGGTGTCCTCCATTTTCAAAGTTTGTCCCAGATACTTGTAACTGCTCACTCTCTCTAACGTTCGACCTTCTATTTAGATGTTTTCATCTGTGTCATAGTTAGTCATATATTTAGTTTTCTCTTTGTGCATAGTTAGGCCAAAACGTTAGCTCTCCCTGTTGAGACCTGTCAGCTGGTCTTCCAAGTCTTTGGTTGATGTTGAGATCAAGGCCACATCATCAGCGAATCTTAGATCATTAAGTATTTCCCTATCAATATTTATTCCTCCATTTAAATGCGACTTTTAAAATACCTCCATGTTTGATAATATCACTTGTTATTTCTTTATTTCCCGGTGCCTTGTTGTCCTTCATACTGTTTACAGCTTCCTCAACTTCTCTCTGTAGTATTGGTGGTATGTCTGATTTTCTGGATGAGGTATCTATATGATCTTTCGGTTGTTTTTTCGTTGAACCATAAAGCTCCTGGTAGAAATCGGCGCATATTTCTAGTATCTCCGATCTCTCAGAAGTTATATTTCCATCTTTTTGCTTCAATTTGCTCATTCTAGACTTTTTGCTTGCCATCTTTTGTATTGGTTTTGGTCCCCTTCCGCTTTCTAGAGTTTCTAAAATGAGTTTAGAAGTTTTTCGTCTGTTCCTTT